GACAATCTAATTGAATGCTACCACACATCTGCGGTGTAAACAAAAATTATATGCGGTCTCCACACAAACACATTGCCCTCGCTACAGTCGATAATTATGCCACGTGGTCTCTGGGCGACCCTCAACACAGAACAAGAAGTGTATTGGAAATGGATTTTCAAAGAATACAAGCATATCTTTATTATATTCATAACTTTAACTGACTTCAAAAAAGGTCGTGCTGTATATTTTTTTGTACATCACGCTTTATAATAATATGTTGGGACATTAATACAACGCCATCTAGTACCATAGTAAGCTACGAGGCTTGTGTTATGGATACCAGATAGTTGTTACACTATACATATATAACGTTAAATACATACATATTATAAATATAAATATACTGGAGTACAATCATTTGTACTCATCACACAAATGAATACCCCCAGCGGGACTCGAACCCGCGACCGCTGGCACAGCAAGTAGGGTCACTACAAACTGAGCCAAACGTGTCGTCTTTATCTTGGTTAACATTTATGCGCTTTTATAGCTCTAAGTAATTTTTGTTAAATGAAAATATCATTGCAATTTAAAAATATTTTTAATTCAAAAAAAAACATGTTACGGTCAGGTTTAACTAGCCACTAAATAGAGCCACCTTAAAACCACCTCTAAGTCCAATCAATGAAAAATGGAAACATTAATATTAGTTAGTTAATTAACTGTTCACACTCAATAAGAATAATGTATTTTATTTAATATAAAATATTATTTTATATTCATATCTTAGTAGGTATATAGTCTAACAAAAAGTTGATATAAACATTAAAATTCAATTTGAATTTTGATCTGGAACAATAATTTCATAATATTAATAATATACACAGTGACATAGACAATAGACACAGTGTCTGTCATTACAACTAAAATAAATAAATTTTAACATTCAATTATAAAACTTATTAAAATTATAAAAAAAATTAAAATTAAGAAATATTGTAAGCTTACCTATAGGTGTGTATAACATATAGTATATAGTATAATTTTGTGGCCTCTCTGCCTCGGTGGTATAGTGGCTAGCATGTACGGCTGCACACCCGGAGGTCCTGGGTTCGAGTCCCGGGTCGGGCCAAGTTTAGTTATTGAGTCTTTCTGTATAGTAAGTCTCAGTAACAGCCCGGAGTTGGGAAGTTGGCGGTGTTTCACCCCCGTGCCTCGGAGAGCACGTAAAGCCGTCGGTCCTGCGCCTTAACTCTCACCGGTCGTGTCGAGTGGTCGTCCCACCGGAGTATGAGAGTGATAGGAATAGAGAGTGCACTTGTGTCTGCGCGTACACTTGAGCACTATAATATCTCCTGCGCAGTTGGCTAATCTCATTGAGATTGGCCGCCGTGGCCGGAATCGGCTAGGAGAACATCATAGTATAATTTTGTGGGTACTGCCATCTGTAACTTTTGGACGTATAACGTCGAGAACAAAAATCATAAAATACAGTTTTATTAGAAATCTAATTATTGTTTTCGTATATATTTTTTCAATGGTAATTAATTTGTTTGATTAAATTGAAAATTGTTATGTCTAAAATCACAATGGAGTCGGAGAGCCGAAGCCAAAGACTTAGCAGAAATATTGACTTTTTTCTTTTTATTTTTATATACATATACCATATGAAGTGTCTATTGTGAAATATTGTCAGCTATTGTGTAAAAAATAATATATTTTAAAAATGAGAAAGATGGATCTTTCTTTTTTTCTTTAAATAACAATTTAACAATCAAAAAATTATTAAATATTTTGAACTGGAACACATACCTGTATTTAAACATATTCTGATAATTCGACTGAAGCTTCTGCTTGAAAGGAACTACGCTCGTAAAAATATCACTCTCTAAGCTTTTATTACATTATCTCAAAAAAATATCTACCTATCGTTGCTTTAGTGCTTATTTGTGCAAACTATCAATACTTGTACTATGCTTCAGGGAGATTTATCCTTTATTTCAAAAACAAATCTCTATATCTAAAGTATAGATAAAATACATATTTTTATATATCAGCTTTTTTAAAGTAAAACGTGTATTTTATATACAAAATTGACATTAAAAATTGAGTAATTCTGTATTAAAATCGCCAAAGTAAATTTGTCATTAGGATGTAATAAAGACTAAGACGACGTCATATTATTTCTTGTATTTTGGTTTCAGGTGTACTTCAATCATGGATTAAATAAAACCAGATACATATTATAGTGAGTTTTTTTATGTATACGTTTATAGCATATCTTTGAATAAATAAATATATATATATATACATACATATATATATATATATATATATATATATATATATATATATATATATATGTATATATATATTTTATATAACACCTTGAATGGTAAGTAGATTATGTTTCATTTATTGTGACACCTACCACAGTCAAGAAAATATAATTTAGATTTAAAGGTCCTCCTTTAAATTCAACTACAGAACTCTTTTAAAATTATAATGAAAATATGTTATTTTTAATCCACAGCTCCAATTGGGTAATATAATTTTACATAATTAAACGTAACAAAAATGTTTGTAACACATTTTTTTTTACTTAATAATCACGCACGACTTAAAAATACCCTGAAAATGGTCACTTAATTGAATGATTACATACTGAAGGTGGCTCGATTGTGCGGTCCCGTTCCGCAACCGCACGGGTGCTTCACGGTTGGTAAGTGTCGCGCAGTCAATCTCGGGGTTTGCTGTCTTATCCCGTAAATAATTATTATAGTTAAGTATTTATGAGGTACCCACATGATCATACTACTATATTATAATTGCGAATATGTATGTGTATGTTTGTTACTCCTAAACGCTATAAATCTACCATCACTATTTTATTTGTGTTAAGTATAGGTTTATGTGAAACTAACTGGTCATAGGTTCGATTTTCGTAGACGATAAATAAATGTATAAATTGATATTAAGAGCGTATATAATAAAACGTTGATAATGTAGCCTAGAATACATTATTTGAAATTTTAAAAAATATTTAATTTATTATTTAAAAAATTCTGTTTTTATTTTCTATAATAGTGAAAGCTTCACCTTTTTAATAGTAAAAAATTGTCTTATAAATGTTTTTGCGTAATTTATTTTTGTCCTGGTAACTAGATAATTCAAAGCTCAATTTTCAAAATAAGCCAAAACCTCACATAACTTAAATTTCACAAAACTAAACTTTAAATTATTTCAACCATACTTAACATTTTAAGCATCACAACAACAAACATCACAAGATGAAATTTAACAAAGTTTTTCAATCTGGACGTAACTTGTATTCGTCAAGACAGTCCCGGTTCCCACTCAACAAGTGTGTCAATTTTTCCCGCAACGCGTCTTGCGAGCGCGGGTGGGGCGGGCCGCCACGCCCAGCCGCACGCCCACCCGTCTTGAGTACTCCCCACGGAAAATGTGCAACCTACGACACATTAAGATAACTATACAACACTTATCTGACCGCTTATTGGAGCCATTCTACTATTAACCACTGACTCTACATTACTCTACCCAAAACTCTACGCGATTTAATACAACAAATTGTATTATTCCTAATATTAGCCATGGTTTAATTATTACTTTTTATTACCATAACAAAATATCACAACAAACGGAAATGAAGTAGAATTTTAAAGTTATCAGGTCCTTTAAAATGACAAATAACGCAACGCATTCAACAATCTTAAAGCTAATTAGTCAACAAGCTGGATATAGACTTACTATCTTACTGAAACTTTATTGACAATTAGAAGACTTGAGCTAATTCATATAGACGTCTCTCTCGGCGTTGACCGCATCTATTGGAACACCAGAGCGAGATATGAAGCTAGACTTCAGAATGAAAAACATAATTATTTCCCTTTCAACAATGGACCCAAACAAAAATGTTTGATCACATAAAACTTGTGCGCGTTTCGCTCGCACTACTGCTTTCTGGTGTAAGTTCGAGCGAGAGGAGAGCGGCGCATATTTTCCCGGCAAATGAAGCGTGGCCAGACCGCAGATTGTCCGCAGAGAATGAGGCAGCGAGTGACAGAATGGCGGCGGCTCAGTAGTAGAGTGCCGGGCGAACGGTGAACACGCGTGTATCTCGCACCGACGCGTGACTCATAGACTCACGGTACGTACGCGGTAAATACCTGTCCGCGGGACTTACGCTCGTATTAGCAAAAAATATAACTCTCGATTAAGAAACCGGCGCTGACGCAGAGCGCGGGGAAAAATCTTGAATAATTAACTCGTCCAGCTGATATTGACAGAACGTGCGTGTTCGCACGAGGAGATATTGTTGAGACTACGCGTGCTTCTAAGAACTTCTGACTAGGATACGACTCCGAATGATAGAAAATATTTTGGATAGTTCCGCACCGACCTCTTTGAGTCGTGACTCACATAAAATGACGAAAGTTAAGTTGAAACAAACTTCAAGGTCTGCCCTGATTCCCGCTAGTATACGTAAATACTGAGTTAAGGAAAAATTATGTTAATGTCCGTGATTGTTTACATCGTTTCGTTGAATGTACTCTAAAACGTGAGTGAACTTGTTTGTTCAGTTTGCATAATATCCCTATTTTATAAATAAATATATTAATAAATATACTACTATCAAATCAAAACCGAAGATCTCTAATATTTTTTACAATCAATAATACTCTGTAATGTTTAAGCAAAAGTTGTAAGAAGTGACAGTCTGATGAATAATAATGTGTGTAAAAATTTTGGATCTGCGCCAAAAGTTCTTTGAAGGTTTTGAATGTGACAATATATTACTCATCGGCATAAAGGTCGTGCGCAAGCGCAGAGAAAGTGTATAAACTATCGAATAGCCATAACATCAATCATCACAAAACAAAAGAAGTTTATTATAAAAACTCAATTACTAAATTAGGGAGTGGTTGAATCTGTAGAAGTTTGAGGTCCAAAAGTGTAAAAGAGGACGACGAAGGTGGGTGATGCTGCAGTAAAGGATGCACTTGCCGTACGAGTCCAGGGGCCGTCGGCGCCGCGAGATGGCTGAGCTCGAGCCCTGGTGGCTCCAGTCCATCATCGACGAAACGCTTGGCGAACATCCTGACCTCGGTGAGACTTTCTATTATAAATACACCACTTAACAAAATCAATCAATACCTAATGCAAGCAATGCAAGCTATCTAGGAAAATGTAACTTCCTTTATATTAGTCAAATTATAAAGATGCACAATTAAGGAAAATGCACAAAAAAATGGCAATATAATAATAATTACGATGTATCACATGTATTTATTATTTATTAGTGGACTATAAATTTTAACGATGTATGATGAAAGAACCATATTTTAAAAATCACATAAGTACATTTTTTTCTAAAATTAATTAAATATATTAAATTTTATTTAACTTACAGTAACTAATACTAAATATTAATATTATTATTATGACAAATGCCATGACTTGTTTTAAATATATATTTAAATAACTAAAAAAATCCTTAAAAATTCTATTGACTAGGTATATGTTTGTTATAAAGGATTTTTTAAAAAGCAAAGTATTATAAAAAGTAATAATATAATAAGTGTTATATCTTAAATATCATAGAAAGACTGAAACACAAATTTTCAGTAGACCTACATTTAAAAAGTTTCCACAACATTTCCAGGGTCCATAAATATCTAAACATAGCCTTGTTTCGTGGAACGTAAAAACCCATACTGGGTTTTTCTATTTTAATTTAAATAAGAAACTAGATGTATTATTATTCATTTTCTATAAACAGTAAATAAAAATACCCAACAGTACCTGCCACTAAATACTTATAAGTATTTTATTATTATAGATCTCCTTTATATGTGGAATTAAAAAATAAATAAACAAAAGGTCTAAAATTGAAAAGATCACGACATTTTACATTTTTTTGTAATATTGAATAATTAAATTTCACAATCATTTACGTTTTAGTGATGCTTTAGATAATACCGCTTCTTATAAAAGACATCAACGCATTTCTAAATGTAAAAAATATTTTAAATTATATAGTATAAAGAAGCTAACTACACAGTTTAAAGGCAACAATTAACACTAACAATTAGTAATTAAAAGAAAAGAATTTCCTCGATAACTTTATAGTCTTACAACACTTAGGTACGAGTATGTACTGTATAAACATTATTTTATTTTGGTTTTGTTTTACTTAATTTATTGCGAATATTTTGCAAAACAAACCTTTTTGATATGTTTTTGTTCTATTTGATATTTTAATATGATATTTTTTTAAATTAAGGATTTACCTTTCATATAATGAAAATTAGTGTTATTGATTAGACGTTTACAACAGGACATACGTTTTTTTTTTAAATTGATAATATTTGGGCAACGTATAGGTACACATCTCATTAAGCTTTATATGGGATACATCTTCTAAAATAAACTGAAACTAGAAGTACCACGAGCTTGAATATGTTATCGCCTGTTTGTTTTCAAGTTATTCCCCAGTTTACTCGTATGTAACTTCTCATGTTCCACGGTCTCTATTATTTCAATATAGGTATAGTCATAATTTAAAGATTTATTTATACGTCATCTTTTTGTTGGTGTTATTTCCATTAACAAAGCACATTACAATTAGCGACAATTAGTCGAGTATGGGGCGTAAAAGCACTCATGGTAATGAGACTGTTCAATGCAAGCTAATGAGGTCAGAGGTAGCACTAGCCCTCCATATCTGTCCCTCACTGAATCTATTTGCGATGGGGCGTGCAGTGTGGAAGTTTGCGGGGCCTCAAATCAAAGGTAGAGCTTAAAGTAACTTCTATTTGTATATACATATATTGTGAAGTGGTATCATAACTCGTTTGAATCTTGTACGTACTAGCTGTACCAACAGACGTTGTCTTGTTGAAATTTCAATTTTGTTTATGATTAAGGTAAGATTAAGAATTCACATAAAGCCTACAGTAAAAATCACTTTCAGTTTTTCCCTAATTTTCCAATTTTCGAGTGAACTTTACCATTTACCTATAATATATCTTATATTCGGTGTAGTAAAATATTTGAAAAACAATGTTGAAGTGGTCCATTCATTCATTTCATTACTTTTATATAGAGATATTCAAATTCTCCACTGCTCATTTCTTTTTAAATTACCCCTGAACATTCCCCAACTCCACTGGCATACCAATGATATGTATTATAAATCCATCAAAAATATAAATGTAAAAAAATCCAGTTCTGTACAAACGGCCTTCGGAACTATAGTCGTTCACTGAAAAGCTGGTACCAAATCCAAGAAAGTCTTTCAAAGGCTAATTCTGTAAAAGATATTAATAAATTAAACAATTTCTTATTAAAGTCGATAAATATTTAAAAATCATTTAGAAAATAACTAAATTGAGCTTGATTGGTTGCCAAACATTTTAACAAAATCAATGAAGAAATGCAGCTTGATATCTAGCTTATGTGTTGCTATTTCGGAATTAAGTATACATGTACTCAAATTTGAAAATGAGATTTGATAAACAAAGAACTTTTGCTATAGGATCCCTTGGTTCATAGAATTAAAGTGCTTCTCTTAAGCCAGTGAGTCCCAAATAACCACATATATGTATGCAGGTGGTATGCCTAAATGCATTTCCCAAAATTAAAAAAAGTAGTCAAAGTTCTAAACACTTCTTAAAAAACATAACACCTCGCCTCTAATGGTGACAGGAGAGCTGGCTTTTCGTCCAAAGAATCGGCATTGCCATTCTTACCATTATTACACGCGGACATGACTTATACAGTAATAATTAAGAGTATATTTTTTTTGTATATAATATAACTAGATTTGTAGTTGTATTGTAAATAAATGTTAAGCATAATATAAAAGAAGGCTGTATATTTATTTATACATACCTTTTAACTTGTATAAAACACTATGCTTATTATAAAGAATGGATAGGATAATAGAAAATGTAATAACTTTTTTCAATATAAAAGTAATTTTATTAAATTACAGTGAATCAATCTACCAGCTTTCCTAAAACATTGTAAGTCTCATCACAGAAGTAGAGACGCATCCACAGCCCTTTATCAAGCGTCAACCGCAGTTACTTGTGGCCTATAATTTGTACATAGCCCGAGCTTCCGTAAATAGAGAAACCACAGTTAAACTATTAATGGTTTTTTCACGCCAGATACCGCTACTTTTTAAGAAATTCGATGGAAAGTGTTTAACCGCATCTAAATATAACCAAAGTATTTTATATCCTAATTAAAAATATTATTTATATATATATTTTCATGTGCGAATCATTTCTAACATGATTACCACTTGCCTTACAGTGAAGGAAAACATCGCGAGGAAACCTGCATGTCTTAGAGAACCTAGCAAGTTTTCGAAAGACATGTGAAGTCCGCCCGAACTTGGCCAGCGAGGTGGACTATGGCCTGATCCCCTTCGTATGAAAGGGATGCCCATTGCCAGCAGTGGGACTTTAAAAAAAAGGGCTGCTAACAATAACACCTAGATAATACATTTTCAGTACTATTATTAAATGGAGGTCCTCACTTAGGTCCTGCTAGTAATGAAATCATATGTTATTATTGAATACGTGATAAGCTTTTTCTCTTTGAATTTCGTATTTATTTGGTAAATTTTTTTAGCAATGAATAGGTATATTATAAACAGATACACAGGGATGTTTCCCTGTACTCAATGTGTTTAGTTTGTATGTATGTATGTATGTATGTACATAAATAGAATTATTTTTCCTTCGAATTAATGTATTATTTGTTCTTATCAAAACTAATTTTAATTACTCTTTTAATATAAATATGACCTGACGACACAAAGTGCAATGAATAATTATAAACTAAATTATAAATTGATTTTCCTCGTTTAATCTCATTTTTATGGTATTTCCAATTAACTGTTTAACATGCGTTAGATTATTCGTCTATTGTAATTATTATTATTATGTTTGTTTTGACCGATTTAGGGACTTTACTACTAATAGAGCTCAAGAGCTCTATTAGTAGTAAACATACATATATACATGCCAAGGCATGTGTGAAATAGATGAATGTGAATGAGTGAATGAATGAATGAGAATGTGGCATTTTTTCTAAATATATAATAAAACCCAGTGGTAACGCGCTCACTTGGGATACCGAGTGAAGCGGGTTCATATCCCGGGACCTGCATCTCTGATTTTCATGTACGAATTATTTCCAACATAATTACCACTTGTCTTACGGTGAAGGAAAACATCGTAACGAAACCTGCATGTCTGAGAGAATCTAGCAAGTTTTCAAAAGACATGTGAAGTCCGCCAACCCGTACTTGGCCAGCGTGGTGGACTACGACGTAGTATTAAAGAAAGGTCCGTGCTAGCAGTGGGACATAAAAAAGGGCTGAATACAATATAATAAAAAAACAGAACCAATAAAAAAACTTAAGATTATTTTGGTTTTAGAAATATCCAAGTGTCGTATATGTGATTTTTGGCACAATGTCTAATGCAAGCTACACTATTCTGCATCACATCACATCATTGGAGTCGTAAAACCATGAATTGCAAAAAAAACTACATTTTATAGTAAAATTATGCTCCATTCGTGTTTTATTAGCTTCACTGTACTAAAATACACTTAAATAACTATGTAAGTCTTTGAAGAAAAATTTTACCTTCTTTTAATTATCGTATCATTTTGAAAATTTTTAAATATGTGAAATATATTATATGTACTACATATTATTACAATACAATTATTTGCCAACAACGAGTCGATCTGATGGCGGCGCATAATGAAACTATTCAGTCGCTACTAATAAGATCTTCGAATTTGAGCCCATTTCATTTATTTACAATTTCCACACATTAAAGTAAAATTATTATAAAGCATGCTCGATTGAATAAAAACAAAAATAAGAGTTCTTATAACGGCTGACTTATAATCAACTAGCAGTACGCTGCTTCGTCTACATTCAAACTTCCGAGCGCTACCAAACTTTACAGGATATCCCGCTGGGCTTATCTGAGGATTGCCTGTAAATTTTATCAAAATCACTCCAGCAGTTTTGGAGTCCATATATACAGACGTCGATTTTTATATACATATATAGATTTGCTGATTGCAAGACCTTCCGAGAAAGAAAATGTAATAAGACTATCGTGTTATCCTCCGTCTATGATAGTAGTTCCCAAAGCTACATTTTTAATAATCCACATATAACTTCTTTATAGCGAATTTGAGTACAATAAATTACTTAATTCAAGTACTCGTATCATCAAATGATATTAAATTTTTGTCCTCAGTACGGACTGGCAGTCCAGACTATATGTGCTCGCAACTACCACTACACTGGCGTTCTAACAAAACGCTGCCTGGTGGGTTCAAGGTAGTGGCTCTTGGCGATGTACTGGACGGTACTCAAGTTACTGTCAGAGCTGGCAACGATGAGAACTGCTCCGCCGAATTGAGAAACAACACAGCCGTAATGAAGAATAGAGTCGCCAAGTTTAACGACCTGCGATTTGTTGGCAGAAGTGGTAGAGGTATGTATTGATATTATATGTGTATTTTAATATGATATTCTATATACGCGTTTTGGCTAATTGAATTTTTATTGGTAATATTTTGTTATAACATTATAATTAGTGAGGATCCTTAAAAAAAAATTTACTACTTTACCTATACATTTTTATAATGATTTGAAGCGTACATATTTAAAAACTTTGTACATTAAAGAAAATATTACAGTATTTAATTTACTACGTAATCCTTAATGCTAATATATAATCTATATATTGTAAGAAGCAACACACTTGTGTGTAAGCGCACGATAAAGTACATAAGCTCTAAACTAGATTATGGCAGTAAATCATGGCGCTGCTCTCTGATGTAACTAGGTTTCCAAACATATTTTGTATCCGAGACCGTCCTATTAGTTAGAAATTACTTACTTGACACATCATGTTCACTAAATTTAATGTAAAAAAGCATTTATAATCTCTATTAATGTATAAATTCGTAATATATTTTAATTTTAGCCCTCTGAACTGCATATGAATATCTCCAAAGAGAGATTCTGTGTCCCTAACATGAATACATAAAAGTTGGTAAACCTACAAACCGTCCGTGCTAGATTAACCAATTATTATCCTGTGTTGTATTAGTTAAACGTGTCTGTAATAACGACTCTACGCCACATTTGGACATTTGTGTCACGCATTTGCATTGAAGGCTTAGGCTTAGATCGATAGCATATTTATTACTCATGTTTAAAGGTTTATAAAACAAAAAGTTTATCAATAAAATCTATTAAAATTTCATTTTTAATTATTACCTAGAAAATTTATAGAGACCAGTCAAGTGTTTCAAACAAACAGACAAACCTATAACCGTTTATCTCAACACTTGGGATTTGAATTCATAACAATTATAGTGTACATAAAAAATATTTTGGTAAGACACTTTCAATCGGTAACTTACGTCATTTAGTCATGATCAAATACTATGTGGAATCATTGATTCTCGGTATCTGCTAAAATAAATCTATTTTCACTATTTCTGTTGAAAAATACAAAGAAGGTAACAGTAAGAGAAGGTGTCAGCTAAATAATAATTTAAATACACAGTTTATATATACATTTTCTAATAATAGTTTAAAAAGTGAATTTCCTAATAACATAGTTATTTTGGGATGCTCTAGCAGGAATCATTTTTCTTCAAATTGTTTGAAAAGCTGTATCACCATCTTACCCAAAAAATACGACTTTCAATCAAAGTAATCAAATATCACCAAGTATCTAGTAACTATATGGTAATTGCGTAAAAATTGTAGAATTAATTTACCAATCGAACCAACTTAAAGACAATGTACCCATGTATTACCATCAAAGCGCAACTGCGAGTTCTTTAGTTAAATTAACACATTTATACTGAGTGGAGTAAGAAATGGTTTTGTTTCTTTAATATATTAGGAATGTTCTAAAACATTTACGTAATTATTATTTTTTATTTACAATAAAGAAAATTACAAATATACTTAATTATATATACAAAACAAATATATTAACACATTTATATATTCGTATGTTATATATTAATTTTTTTCATTCATAAAGAAAATGGTATTCAATATGAATAAGAATTAAAAAAATTAATACCATAAAATTTTGTTTGTCATTTCTTCTAATGGAACAACGTGAAAGAAAAAAAGCAAACGGCTAAACGATGTCGCGATTAAATCCTCTTCAACATTAGTAGCAATAAACAAAATAATCGTTTGCGGTGAGGAATGTTTAGCATTATGCCAATCATGGATGTGAAAAGTAACGATTACAACTTCAACAGTGGTCAAAACACTTGAAGTTAACTATATGAATATACGAAAATAATGCATTGGTTGTTCATGAAAAAAATATAAATATGTATGTAGGTCACATTACCCGCATTTCATTTCGGTTACCTACCACATTAATGAAACTTTTTGCACATCCGTTTTCTTGGCCAGACAACTTTAAAATAATACTTTCTTAGATTTTCGCGAATATTTAACATCCATACTATAATATTATAAATGTGAAAGTGTTTTTGTTTGTTTGTCTGTCCTTCTTTCACGTGTGATTTTTTTGTGTGGAGATAGTTGGAGGGCTGGAGAGTGACATAGGTTACTTTTTACCGCGGCGGATTATCTCATTCCAGCGGGAAAACACGTTATAATACAACCCAAAAAATATTTATGATCAGAATTACTTGAAACTTGGTATTAATGCTCTTCAGTACAATTAAATAAATATGAGTTTTAGCATTTTTTGAAATTCATCCCATAAGGCATGAAAGTTTGTATGAAACCTACCTTTTTAGATTTTTTTATAGTTTTAGCACGAGCGAAGCCGCAGGTTCTGCTAGTTTTAAATAAATCTATCTTTATGATTGTTTCGCGGATTTATTATGATTTTCGGTTCCTCACGTTCCGAATACTAATCATGGGCATGGAAAAGACTTTATTGGTTGGACAAGAAATACAAGAAGGTTAAAGAGTCGCATAGGTATGGTTACTGATTTGATTGTTTATTATTTATTTTATATAAACATTGCCTTTAAAAATAAATAAAAATCAAAGTATGCAAAATTATTTAATCAAAAATATAACTAATTGAAAACGAACCGAAAATACTTAATATAAATATACCAAAACATGGAAAAATAGAAAAAAAAAATTGCAATTTACAAAATACCATCCATGTCTAAAAGAAAACCATGAACTTTCTCCATCACAGATCAGAACGTCAGATTTTAATTTCCAAACCGCAGGCTGTAAACGACGTTCGCGCTTTACTGTTCCATTGTAATACGCGCATCGTCGCCATTACCGGCCCTCATGGGCTTGTAAGCTGTAAAATCTCAGATACCAACGTCTGCGACTGGCCAGTACTAAATAAAATAATATATACTCGTACGTATTTGTCCTTGTATAGCTTTGTATATAACATATATCGTGTTTCCAAGAGATTTTTATAATAAACAATGATTGAGTCTACATAACAGAATAACCTCTAACTGTGAGTGACGATAGTACCTAGTTATACAACTAACTATCGCTATTATATTAACTTGTGAGATCTCGAAAAAAGAGTTTTGCGTTTAATACGCAGATTTCCTTTTGTTTTTCAAATTTTCCATCTTCTATCAATAATTTGTTAATGTTAGATTGTATATTTTGGATAATCATCAAAATCCGTGTTATATTTTCATGGGATCGTGGTACAGTTCAGTTAATTTGGTTTATAGTACATATTATGTAAGTCATAATTATTTTTAGTGTATATATGTTTGTGTATATACAAAACGTTGAGACATCGTATTAGGAAACTTGCAGATTTTTAATTATCTATTCCTTTCAAAGATTAGCTTTAGTATTAATTTCGTAGTTAACGTCTTTAGAATGTGAGTTTTCTTTATCAGTATTATACAACAAACAAATAGACGTATTCAAAAGATGAGGATAAAAACATTATAATATAAGTGGTCTGGTATTTTATTCAAATTGTCGATAAACTTATTTAAAATTTGTATTATTTAGCAATACCACATTGAGGTGGCATAATTTTTGTAATGTACTATTTACTACGTAAATGAAATGTTCAATGCAAATGTAACATTTTCGGAAACCATTTAAAAACGCATTAGGCAACATTCTAGATAAACCTGCTGCTCTAACAATAACAACAATTAGTTTTAATCAAACGATTGAGCAATTAACTTGATTTGCATAATTATTAATATGGTTGACCCATTAATGGTGTGCTTACTCTGTTTAGAGGCATTAAAGCGACAACGTGGAAAGTTAAAGACAGAAGGGAAATATGTACTTTAGTTTTGTCATATTTACTTAAATTGTAATTATAAATTTTGTACATTTTTTTAGCTAAACTGTAAATTTTATTGCATGCAATCTATCTTAAGTTTTTAGTTTTTTTTTTGCTTTTCTAATTTCTCTAGACCGGCATCTGCCAAAAATTTTCTAATATTCATTTCAGACATTCTCAGACGTATCGAGGGGTATCGCGAATAAATAGATGTGATTCAAAAACATCATACATTGTTCTATGTATCGAAATGATAAGAAAAATATAAAATATAAAAATTTATATTAAAAACTTTACGTTTCATAGTCATAAGTCTTTGTCAGGCTTAAAATAAAGAGTTCTTCCGTCGTTTATAGCTTTTAGCCCCTTTCCTAATATCTGTTTCCTAAGCTATTAAAAAATAAAATCGACAACTAAAATAAGTTCTTCTCGATGCATAATATGCATTTTTTTGTATTCATCTGGTTAGAATGTAAGTCGACACCAGTAGTGGAGTGGTTGTGACATAACATCACAACGCTAATGCGACGTGATGAGAGCGGACAGCTGAGCACTGGTGTGCACCAATTTTGGACATCGATATTGTTGGAACTAATTTTTATTTAAAATAAAAAGATTATCGATGTGTACATATAGCTTTAGTGGAACACGTTAGTTTTTATTAGACATATCCTACAGGTGACTCAATAGATTAGTATTTACAGATAAAAAATATAAAACCTTGCTCCTTTAATATTTTTTGTCCAAGAAGTCCTAGAAGTAAAAATTTATGTAATATACCTTTAATGTGAGAAATATATAGCAGCAGTTGAAAAAACACGATTGTAACGTAATTATTACACCTAAAGCATAAATCAATTAAATTCGTTATATTTAACAAATGTTTTATAAATAATTCTTAACAATACGCAAATTCCTTTAAAAACTCGCCCGAAAATAAACACGAGCTCACATTAGGAGCAAGCGGCCGCACGTAAACGTCGTGACCAGAGTGTGACCAAATCATTTTGTATAGCGGTCATCATCATACAATGTGGCATTTCTTCTTTTCGGTCATTTTCCCTGCTATTTGATTGGGATGTCAGTTTAATTTATGAGTCTCTCTAAATATAAACTAAGCTGCTAGTGAGATATTATACTGTGTAAAATTATCATTCTTATTCCAGTTACCATTTTTTATTAAATTGATTTAGAAACATATTGCTTTAGGTTATGTCCATGTCTGAGAAAAAAAAATATAGTATTTAAATACTCTACGATCTACGAGTATATTGTTACATTCGAAGGCTCATCATCGGTAATGTGTCTGACATAATCGACTCTCCTGAAAACATGTCACTCGTGGTACATAAGCAGTATGCGAGTCATCGTCACTCACAAATGTCACTCAGAATTTACGCTCGATCGTAAATCAAGATGGCCGCCATTCCCTATGCCCCTTCCCCAGACATGCGCCCGCGCACAATAATTGAATATTTCACGCAGCTCTCTCAACACCTCCGGGAGACCGTTCAAATACAATGTTATGTTTTATAGCTTCAGCTATTGTGTTAGGTCCTAAACTGTTGATGAGTGATCATGCGAAATGCATTAAGTTTAATAGCGATTTTAAATGCAATATTTCACATTTCACGACATGCCTTTGGAGTTTAGCGGCCAATGTTTTATGGTGATTTGTTTTGGTATTGAAATGTGCCGTCGCCGACAACTCTAATGTCGCTTTGTGACGAGAAAGCGACATCGATATTGAGATCTTATGAGGAGTTTATGACGGATTATATATTATTAACCTTAATTTAGCAGTCATGTTGGAGTTAAGAAATAATACATAGGTATATGTATTATGTGTAAGAATAACCCTTGTTAAAACACCCTTTACCGGTTGTATTTATTTACAAGAAAAATTAAAATCGACTTCAAGGGCCTAAAAAGTAAAAAATAACTTAATAAGTAAAAAATAACAGGATTATTTCGCGGATTTATTTTGATTTTTGGTTCCCGACATTTCGAATGCTATACAGCAATCATGGTCACGGGAGAGACTGAGGTTATAGACGTCTCAAACACATACTTGTTACAGACTGCCTACCCACTATTTTACAAAAATGCTTACAAAAATTCAAAAAATGGCAATAAAGTACTTACAATATTTACAATATTTGTTGATTTTTATTTTTAAACATACCAGTAGATGTAGTTAGTTCATATTATGTGGATCGCAATAATGTTTTTCTGATTTTCTCGAAAACGGTATACTTAATGTCAAAGAAAACTTTATGGGATCACCTCGGGATATACCTTAATACAATACAGTTTAAAGTCTCCGAGAAATCGGTGAACATACAAAAAAAAAACATACAGACGAACTTAGTCTCCTTCTTTTTGGAAGGTGGTTAAAAATCAGGTGAAGAAACTGCAAAGAGACAACAAATTTATTATTAATTTAATTATCGCACTTTAAAGACCATTAAAACCAATATTCTGTTCCAACCCCAGACTCCGTCTTCCTTGTATTATCCCCCTTTTTTATCAATGTTGGGAAAGTATTTATGCATACCACTTGCATATATACAAGTGGTTATGTGGGACTAACCGGCTAGAAAAGCCAGTACTACCCAATAAAACCCAAAAGAAGTTCAGCCGTCTTAATGGAGCGTCGCACGATCGCTTGATACCCCGACGGCAGGTCTGCCGAAGCAGACCACAAGTTCACAACAGCCATGGGGTTGCTCCAACGATCCACTCTGCTATCGTAGAAGTAAGTAAGTAAGTAAGAAGAACCTGAAGCGACCCGCATGGCACACCGCCCACCGAGGTGGACCGCCACCGAGTGCGTTTTTTGGCTTTGCGCCCTGCTAGATTGATGACATTCTAGAATGAGACGCTATTAAAACTTCGATAAATTATTAGAGGATTAAGGAAACATTATATTAAAATATATGTAAAATAATAATAAGCTTATTACAAAATTTAATATTTTGTTTGAAAATTGTGTATAATAATGGATATAACAAACATTAACAGGAATAACATTTTGATAAAAAAAATTTTGTTTCTTTAAATAAGAATTGGGTTTTACAAATGAAAAATTTGCATTATTATATGCAGTGCTAAATACCAATAATATTCCATAATAACCAAAGATTATTTACAAGTCTCCAAAGACGTTTATTATATTATTAAACAACATTTATTTATAATTTTAGCTTTAAAATATAATAAAAAAAACTGCAAGCTTTTACATTTTCCTGTAAATGCAAAGTAGGATATAGTAAAATTGGAATATTATAGTAATATAAAAATAACAATAAATAGATCATAAAAGTAGTGATTTTGTAACAATTACAACAAGTCTTAACTCGCATCGCATATCAGGAAATGGTTTGCGCATGTATCGTTATCGGTGGGAACCGCAATGAAATTTTACAAATCGATGTGCCTATCGGCTATTTTTAAGTAGGTATTCGTATGTTGAAACTATATAAATATGTTGGAAATAAGTCATGATAAAATTAAATATATAATTTTATATCAAATGAAAAAAAAACAGTTTATTCTAATTCTGAGTAAAATTCTGCGAAAAGGATCACGAGTTCGATTTAGAGTTAATAATAAATTATGTTATATACAAAACAGGTATCGGTTCTCGTATCTATCTATTTTATGCATGTTCAGATGCCAGACACACAGTACCCTAGTTGCGGCTATGAGTGCCGATACTTGTAACATTAGATGTTATATTGCAGGACAATTATATAAAATAACCATATATAGACACTATTTTCCTCGCATGTAGATATTATATTTAATATGATAGTACTAATAAGAATATATAATAAAAAAATTATATTACTTGACGGCACGTTTAGCTCACTTGCTGTGGCTGATGTCGCGGATTCGAGTCCCGCTGGATGCATATATTTGTGTTATGAGCACGAATGTTTGTACTCCAGTCATGGGTGTTTATATTTATAATATGTATGTATTTAAAGTTATATATGTATGTGTAGTGTATCAACTATCTGGTATCCATAACCCAAGCCTCGTAGCTTTGGAACTAGATTGTGCTGTGTGTTGTATGTCCCAACAACAACATATTTATATACTAATAAATTAGCCATTTCGTCATTCACATTTTTCTGATTTCTTGATATCGTCCGTGAACTTACCTCCTAACTAGCAATTTGCACAAAACAAATTTTTAATGCCATCATTTAACAAAAGCAACATAAAACTAACTACATTTAATTATGATATCATAAAAAGACGTAAATACCAATCAACTACTTATTTGCTTTAACAAAATTTTCCACGTTTTTTTTTAATTAGTTTTATGTTTTTGTTTGTAAGTTGACAAAAGATCCCAGAAGTTCACTGACGATATGCGTTTTGGTTTAGGCACCTTTCTATGTTTTTAGAAAAGAATCATCTGATTTGTAAAACAAATATTACTACTTTGCTTGAAAAATTAAGGTTGTGACACAGTACCTATGAGAGTATAATTAAAAAGTATAATAAATAAGTATAAGTCAATCTAATCTGAGAATTTTATAGTTTTACTATTAAATTGTCTAATTAAGTGTATGTACGCAGTAACCTATCTAATTCAAAAAGGAATATATAAATAGCAGACGGTCGAGATGAATCAATCATTTATACTAAATCGAGTGCGCTACACGCGAATTATCTGCATTAGACATGTTAATCCACTCATTTTAACTGTAATTTTATTCCGTATTTATCGGTGCATTCATTACTGGTGACCGCAAATCGGGCGCCCAAAAAGCTCGCTATTTTCCATCGCTTGCCCATAGGGTCGGCACCTGCAAGACGCGCCATGCGACAAAGATTCATAAATCAACACAGAGAAAAACATGTACTTATGACATAGATCATAAAATCTTTTTAAAGCATCAATATAATAAAAACTTAAATATAAACAAAACTACAATTTCTGTCTTAGTTTTTGTACATTATATTTATATTGAAGATATTTATATGACACTAGCATTGCCCGCGGCTCCGCCCGCGTTTAGATGACCAACAATCAAATTATTAGGTTTTAGATATTAGTATACTCTTAAAACGCAGTTTTTGTAGTTTTTCTCAAAAATGAGATATTTTCCTGCGGTAAAAAGTATCCTATATGTTGACCCGCATAACCAGCTACCATCATACCAAATTTCATCAAAATCCGTCCAGTGGTTTTCTCGTGATGCGGTAACAGACAGACAGACAGACAAAAATTCTAAAAACTATAGATTCGGACTCTGTATAGATAATAATGTCTACTTCAATTAGATTTTACAAGAAATATTTAATGTACAGATTCAACTTAGTTACAATTTTATTATATGTATAGATATACGTAAGTACATTCAGAGAAAATGTCACTCGTACAGTTATTAATGCTTACATTATTCCACAATAAGTTTTTTTGAAAACCCTACATATTCGCAATAGTTTGGGATGTGCAACACACGTGAGGGTGTCATTCAACAATATTTAACATACATCAACCTATTTTGAATTTGTTACTGGATTGCCTAAATAGAAGCATTGTTAATTTAATGTATATTTCATTAGTATAAAGTCGCTGCATCACTGTTTAGTTTTAGAAATACTTCATTTTGGCACCAGTTATATACTAACTCTGCATTTTTTCGAATTATTTCTCTATACAATATTTAATAAATAATAAATATGTTAGGACATTAACACACAGCACCATCTAGTTCCATGGTAAGCTACGAAGCTTGTGTTATGGATACCAGATAGTTGATACACTACACATATATAACTTTAAATATATACATATTATAAATATAAACACCCATAACTGGAGTACAAACATTCGTGCTCATCACATAAATGAATGCCCCCAGCGGGACTCGAACCCGCGACCGCTGGCATAGCAAGTAGGGTCACTACAAACTGGGCCAAACGTATCGTCATTTAAATCTTTATTAGCGATTTTGTTTATAGATAGTCAATTTATTTATCTATAATGTCAATAGATACATTAAAAATTATTGTTACAGGGAAAAGTTTTTCGTTGACGATAACGATATCGACAACGCCGCCTCAAGTAGCAACATACCAAAAAGCAATCAAAGTAACTGTCGACGGACCCCGAGAGCCACGCTCTAAAACTAGTAAGTATATACATATTTGAAATCTAGAAAATTATAAAACAATATATTATCAAAACTACACACTAGGGATTTCAATTATCTGTAGAGATAAATAAAAGTGTTTGTTTGTAATGTCAAAATAACAGCTTTTTACTAAATACATATGAAATTAATTAACCTATAAGAAAAACAGAGGTTTTACAATTTTTGTATGTCTGTTCTGTTTGTCCCGGATAGTCGTCGAAAAGGCTGGACCGATTTTGACGTCACTTTCACTGGTAGATAGCTGATTTTATAGGGAGTACCTTGTGCTACTTTTATTTTAGAAAAAATATAGGGTTCCGTTCAAAAAAATTAAAACGTACCTAGTGACGCACCGAAACGGGGATAAGTCGTAGTATTATAATATAGTGTGTGTAATTTATTAGTAAATACATAAAACTTTATTATATTATAATAGATTATCGATTAAAATGACAAACTAAACAAAATACATGCATTGAAAGCTACGAGTATAATGCACAACGGACTCTAGTGGTACGCGGCGGCACTCAGCAGTCTTAGGCAGCTATTGCGTTGGATGTTAGAACTTAGAGGTCCCTTCCTAGAACGAACTGCGAAACAAATATTGTAGGACAAAGTAACGAGTGATTACGTTCTTTCTGTATAAACCGCAGGAGATGTATCATATTACATAAAGGTATATTATAATATTTCATATATAAACAGCTACACATAGATTTAAATTATGAAACTTTAAATCAATTAAAAAAATCATGAAAATAAGTTTTGATATAATGTATATAGGAATTTATAGTATTTTAATTGTCTAAATAATAAAAGTATGGAATAGCGGATATACTCGTAGATACAAAATAGAAGTATCAAATATCGCAGACTAAATCACGCATCCTCGTTAGTCATATTAACGTAAAACTAAATTAAACATAAATTGATCGAACATGTCACTGCCCGGGGCACAATTTGTTATTATTCGAAGCCCTGTTACAAAAACCGCACGAGAGACGTAAACAATTAAAATATATTATGGACAGTTCTATTATTATCATGTACAATTTTCATACGCGATACAGTGGTTGCGGCCTCGCTATCTATAGCAGATAACCGTTTTCTTCCCACGGGACCTGGTATGGTGATATGTCGACGGTCATTCGACGAAGGACGCTCAGGAGCAATATAGCACATTGTTTTTATAATTTTGTAAACAAAATAACACTGAGTTTTTAATGTAACAGCCATCGTGCGGCCGCCGAAAGAGTCAAATTGTAGTGATAACATTTTTGTGGATTTAAAATAAGTATTATAGATAGTTCGCACACATTATCTAATGACCCAATTATAATTATAAATTTGAATAAAAATGTTATATCGCAAAAATTCACGAAACAACATGTTCAATACACGAAAATTCATATTAACTTCATTTGCGTCCATTACAAAGACGGATTATACGTTTTACTTTCTTTTATGTAATTCAGAATAAAATACACCGTTTTTAAACATCATAATACTAGCCATCCTGTCTCCAATCGAGCAGTCACGCGAAACTAAGGAGTTGTTTAAGTCGAACTATCGAAATTGGCTGTCGGGTGAAAAAAGCACGTTACGCCATATGGAGTAGCAATGCCGGCGGCGAACAATAGCGGAATTATATGTAATAAGTTGAGCTCACGCAACGCAACTGCTCCCGGATGGAAGCAAGGAACCTTTGTGCTGACGAAAAATGAAGGATACGAGACAAACACTCGACTGCTGTATCAGTTGGCAATCTTACAAAGTGCTTGCTTTTGCGTCGACTCCACAGTTTCTTGTCATCAAAATGGAATCCCCCATATTTAGAAAAATGAATTTTGATTTTTTTAAGTTAAGTCCTACAAATCTTTATTATTCTCAGTAAAGAATTAATAATAGTGAATATAATTTATTCAATATACAGGACTTAAATTCTTTAAGTGGAAGTATTGCATGCTAAATTTAAAATATTTTATCAATATAGATAATTAATGTTGTAAAAAAGGTATTTAGAAATTGTGAACACACGTATTTATTAGGTCACTTTCATATCTGTCATGCTACCTATGTGTCACCAGTTACGGACGGACATATACAGCCTTGACCGAATGTCTCTAGAATTTCCTTAACTTTTAAAGCAATTAATAAATAATTTTAAAATGGGTACCTATTAGAAAATTGTGAGTTTCATTTTATACTAGCTTAGACACGCCTCTTAAATTCCTTAAGGGTAAATTTTCCTAAAATCCCTTCGAAAGTCATAGTTTGCTTTGTGGATAAAATATTATGTTTTGGAGATTAGTAAAACTTTTTGTGTTTTATGTTGATATGCCATTTAATATGTTTACATTTTCATCCTAAAAAAAAGTTCAATTTTTACTCCTCTTTCTATACGATAGCTATATTACCCACAGTGTATTATGGTAAATTTAAGTTCGGTGACAAATCCAACACCAACACCGTAGTTGGCGAGATAGATGATGTGAAAAAAAATTTTTTTTCCTTCTACTTACCATAACAGCTAAAAGTATCGATATCTATAAAAGTAGAAGAGGTAAATCTTTCATTATAAGTATATTGAGAATCTTAAAGTTTCATAGTTATATCTATAGCTTACCATAAAAATTCCATATCATTAGTGCAATAATATTAAAAACTACATAAATAATATTAAAAAAGATACAAAACAACAAGTTAAATTACTCCATCAAAATGTTGTATGAAACAAAATTTAAACATCACCCTTGCATCAAAGCACTAATCATCGAGTAAACAGCGCAACCCTGCACAGATATCCAAACAAAGAACATAAAGGTACCTACTTACCATAAGCCCCAACTCTGCCGGACAAGAAAGGAAGATCTCGCACAATGGACTTAAAAGTTTGCGTTAATAGACTTAATTTGTAGATGCCCCATAAGCGGCTTCGCAGTGACCCTCTTTAATTGTGTTGTGCCTTTGCCATCTATCGATATTGTTAGACTGATTACCCTTTGTTTATCATATAAAGAAATTGTGGTCCAAAAAATGTAAGTTAATATGTGATTTGAATGTTAATATTATGAATATATTAATAACATACTTTTGGCAAACTTTGATTAGTATGCATAAGGTTTATATAAATAATATAATTTATATAAAAGATTTATATAAATACATAAATTACTTAATTTTTTTATTGTCGAAGGGCATAGATTACACAATTTTGTCTTAACTAAGCCAGTAAAGGTTTTTAGTGTCAATACAAATTTTTTACCCAATGTACAATTTTAAAACCAAGAAAATTTGACTGAATTTGAATTATTATTTAAATAAATTAAGAAATTCCATAAAAAATGAAAAAGTTTTATAAAAATAAAAATTCTTATATTAAAAATTAAATCGATTTTATCGATTAAAACGAAATAAAATACATCACTAACACATATGTATTATAATAATTAACTTTACATTTGTTTGAGTCGATTTCACAACATAATTGCGGCATATTTTGTTGCATTGTGTAAACTCATAAACTAATTATGTGCACATTTTTTTGAAGCGGTATCGATATAATTGCGTCGGTACCTTTCAAATAAGGCTAGGGATTTCGGCATGCAACCTGTCATTTTTGTATGAAAAAAAAACTCACTTTTGTTCCTAATAAGGTGATTGACACATGGCTATTTATTTCTGACCCAGGAAACGAAGTTTTAGTTTTTTTTTCGGAAGTTTATTTTCCGAAAGCATTAGAAGCAAATTCAAAACGAGGCATGTAATAACTTTTATAATTAGATTAGACTAATAAAGCTTGGGTTGATAAAAAAATTAAAAAATATATTGCACAATAAATATTTTAAAAAAGTGTAATCATTAAGATTTTTTTAAGAACAGGTAAAATGAAAAATATATTTATAAACTACTAGCGACTTAACCTCGCTTCGCTTTGGGGTCGTCCCTAGACAAATACGAATCTATCCCACGGGAATTGTATGTTTTGTCGGAATAAAAAGTAACCTATGTGCTATTCCAGACTATATACTATCTCTGTGCTAATTTTCATCCAGATCCGTTCAGCCGTTCTGGTTTGAAATCTATCCATATCCATCCTCACAAACTTTCACATTTATAATATTACAAGCGGCTCGCTTATCTCAAGTTCGACTCTAGGAAAACAGAAACAAACCTATCCCACGGGAACCGTATATTTATCCGCAATTAAAAAGTAACATATGTGCTATTCCAGACTATAATCTATCGCTGTGCTAATTTTCATCCAGATCCGTTCAGCCATTCTGGCGTGAAAGAGTAATAAACATCCATACTCACAAACTTTCACGTTTATAATATTAATATGGATAAATTTATAAACTATATTTCTTTAATTACCACAAGGTACAAACGTATCTACACACCAAATACGAGCTATCGGGTTCCAGCGGCCATTCATCTCGACCACCTCTATGGCACTTCGGGATATGGAGTATAAGTCATCAACAAGGAGTCTACGATCGATGTCTCATGAAGAACGCGAGTACAAAACGAACGCCAACATACCTACTGAAGGTAAGAATCTTATTAAGCTATTAATTTTTATAGGTAGTGGGAACCCAATGGTAACTTTATCGCTTAGGAAACCAAGTCAAGTAGGTTCAAATCCCAGGTTTCACACCTCTGATATGTTCATGTGCGAATCATTTCCAACATGATTACCACTTGTCTTACGGTGAAGGAAAACATCGTGAGGAAACCTGCATGTCTGAAAAAACTTAGCAAGTTTTCAAAAGACATATTGTGAAATCAACCCGCACTAGACTAGCATGATAGATCCCCGTCGGTCACCATCTTTTTATAATGACGCTTTAATTAATCTGCTTGTTAATTAGCAAATAAAATTAAAATTATTATCAAATCAGTAAAATTATTACAAATAAACTCAGCAAAATTTAGTTACAATATTACATAAATAATACATTATAATTTATATATTATAATTGAACGGGAAGATACCTATAATAATCATAATGACATGGAAATTTTTTATACGATATTGCCTACTTGCTTTTGCATACTAAGCAACACTTGAAGTATTTAAATTGCCTATTATATTTTAATATAGCATATTACGTACTTTTCTCAATTCAAGTTTATTATATCTCATACACGTAACACAAAGAAAAAGTGTGTGTTCCTTCCCTACTTATAATATAAAATATACTTTATAATATAAAATTATTTAAACATATATTTAAATAAATATGTTGGGACATTAGCACACAGCACCATCTAGTTCCATGTTATAGATACCAGATAGTTGATTTACTTTAAATACATACATTTTATATAAACACCCATGACGAGTACAAACATTCGTGCTCATAACACAAATGAATGCCCCTAGCGGGACTCGAACCCGCGACCGCTGGCACAGCAATTAGGGTCACTACAGACTACTTACTACTAATACCTCAAATAGTTTAACTGCTTAGTTATAATCTATAGTAAAGATTTAAGAAAATGACTGAAAAATATTAATTTTCTAAGTACACCCTGCGTCTTACTGAAATAACTAATTCCAACATAATTATGTTCTAAATGACTATGCAAGTGTCCCGAGCCGCTAAATGTATTAACATGGCGCTTATTGCATTCTCAATCGCAACCCTAACTGGCTGCCTTATTTGCCGAGCGACGAGCCCAGAATGTACTAACAAATCTATACGACCTGACCATCGTTGAAATAATAATTTTTAGATAGCTTCACTTCTTAATTTTTTTGAAGTGAAAATTTCTAAAGGCAGGTTTGGATATGGAGTAAATTCATGTGAGTCGTCATCGACATGGTCACGTGACGTATTAACGCTAACACTCAGAGTGCCGATAAAAGTCAAAACCACATAAATGTAAACGGTTTTAATTTACAAAATTTAATTTAAGATCAAACAATTCGAATATCCAAAAATAACAACTGTTTGTTTATAGTTTTAAGTTTTCATTTCTATCGGCAGTCCTCACGACAGCTTTTTTAATTATTACCTAGTCTTAAAATAGAATGTGTCTTAATATTTTATTAGAAAAATTACAATTTGTCTAGAAATGTTTAAATTTATATCACAAAACCTTTTACTTAATTTTATCAGCACTTCTAGCACGGGGCAAATATTAGTAATAATAACAAGCTTTTATCGTAAAATATAACTTGCGCTATTCATATAGGTATGTACATACGTAAATGAATCCATATAAGAAGTAGGAAACGGAAAGAAAAATAAATATTTTCTCCTTTTCTCGTCTAAAGCAAAGAGTGCAAACTCTATACTTTGTAAAGTCTTGATATTCTCCGGTGCTTACAAGGCAATCCCAGCAGCTTTCATCAGCACGCGGCAATCAGCGCGCGCGCACCTAATGACGGCCATTACGCACATTATTATTAGCCTCCCGCTCCATGTCAACTGGCGTTTTTTGATTAGGCAATTTGTATTAGTAGAAAAGGCTCTTTTATTTCTATTTATACCTGCTTTTAATCACAATTCAATTCTTACAAGTAACGAAATATTACGATCTTTATTCTTAAATGCGATATTTTTGAAATAAATACATTAAAATAATATAACTAACCTATTTTTTCAAACTCATTTCTTATAAGAGCTACCAATTGAATTTAATATTATTGTAATTTGTTAAATAACAATAATTCCACAAAGTTATCACGTCACTATTCAAGGTTAGGCCAATAACCATATCGGTTCCTGGGACCGACTATAACTCTCATTCCTAATGATCTATTTCCTACCAATAAAATAAATTATGACCGTGTTCATGACATACCTCATAATATTTCAATCTTAGACCTTGCTTTGTCATTTCGTGGTGCCGATTGTATTATTATATATAAAATAAAGTTATTAGAAAGAGGTTCAATCATCCTGCAGATGTTTTTCAAAGTAACTGTTGAGTATACGCAGATGTATTTTATTTATAATCTAAGACAATATGTATATGAAATAATTTATTATTTCTGATGGCCTATGTACATATGTACATCGAAACCTAAAAAAATCGCTCTGTTGAGTAATAACTAATTACACTAGTGTTCGTCTAGTGGCCGAAATACGACCATATTCGTTATTGATAATATTTGAGGAAAACATACATGAATAGAATTTATCGATACAATATCTATATAAAAAATAAATAATTATTTCCATATATATATATATATATATATATATATATATATATATATATATATATATATATATATATATATATATATATATATATATATATATATATATTTATATATATAGATAGATAGATAATACTAAAACTCAACAATAGGTACTAAACAAAAACACGAAAATCGGTTGACATATATGTACTTATAGGCATAGATATATTATATAGATACATATACTAAATCTTAATTTTCTCCATGCAGTGAGTTTAGCGAAAATACTCTACAAAACGTACATACATCGACAAAAACCTTAAGCTTGATGTGACTTTTACTTTGTACTTCAGAAGACATTAAATAATTCGTTTTGTCAATACCTCCCGTTACGCGAGTATGCTATATATGGCACAAACAGCTATACCTGCAACAGACGGACTAATATATATTTTTTATAACTTTTTAAAGTAATCATATTTACTGGTTAATACAGTAGTCAGTAGTATTGATACGTGCATATTATATTCCAATGATCAGGCGGGTTCCACAATCGGGAACGTCCAATTACATGTTGATGGAACACCTTGCAGGCAATCGCCGCCGATATACGACCAGATAAACAATGGTAATACCAGCACAATCATAATAACTATTGGAACTAGAATAGTATTACGGCTGCTGTTTTGTTCATGTCTTCTATACATGCATATATGTACTTATAGGTATATACAAATTTAATGGAATATGAATTTTAATTATTTTTATCAGTAACTTAATTAATTATATGTGTATAATATAATGTGATTATCCACAAATTCTACTAAAAAAATGTTTATATTACAGTAATTTTATTACTTAATAATGTGTTTCTAAACACACAAAAAAATATTGAATTACGGAAATCAGTGTTCATCACAAAAAGTCTGATGCTGTAGATCAAGTCAATGGCCTGTGGATGGCCAACAAGAGAAAATAATAACTATAACTTCAAATGCGATCTCGAGAAAAAACAGACGCCGACACAATGTCATTATGGCGTAACATCGCGCACAGAAATAGACGACAATTAGTGCATAGATTTTTAGATTAAGGCTCCATGAAATTGTTGGATGGAATGAGATTGAATTAAAGTAATAAGAAATAAAATAATTAAAGAACAAGAAACTTTAGAGCTATTCTAGATAAGTACACACTATACTTATAAGGATTAAAAACTTTTTGAAATGAAAACATAGTTTACCAAAAAGATAAAGCAAAAATATTCATAAATTAATGTCCATTTGAAAAACCAAAGTAAAGAAATTAGTACTTTGTTAATAAAAATCAATAATATTTAATTGCAAATATTACTTTTTTTAATTTAAAAATAAATAAATAAGTGATAAAGAAAGTAGTTTTTAAAACATTCAATTCAATGAACAATGTAATGTTACATCGCACCTCATTTCCGGTACAAAATTTTCGATTTGATTGATCAATTTCGATGATCAATATCTCGGGTGCTATGATTGGCTACCGAGAGCCAACAACGTAATGGTGATCGTTCTCCATTGCGACTAGATCCACTACTTTAATATACAATACCGCGTAAGTGAGATATTTAGATCATTTTGTTGAAAAAATCGTACTGACGAAGCGTTGTATCACAAACGACTGCACAATCGATTATAGTAGCATCGCTGGCGCGTATCTCTGCGGTTACACTTGCTCAAATAAAGTCAATCTTGGTGCGAGCGAGGGTCCGTGTGAAAATTTGATAACGAAACTATAGATCGATGGGGCTGCAGAAATCACGGGGCAATAGCTGCGGTTTCAATCCGTGTGCTACTGTGGGATGTAATGGTTGGCATGGCCACGAATTAACCTCCACTATAGTAAGGCACGCGTCTGTTCTATACTTAACAAGGACGTAATATTCTTAAAAGATATTAGTAGAATACTTTACATAATTTCAAATATACACAACCGATACATATATATGTATATATAAATTTGGTTATATATTTAAATACACTAGTTGTCCATATAAAGGAGTTATAATAAACATAAAACATAAATTTCTGAAAATTTCAATTGCAATTCAAGACAGAGAAGCCATTAAAGTATCTGGTGGATACTTAGCTTACGGCTGCTTTAGACCACCCACGTCAATATTTTAGTCTTTATAAATATTATCCTGTTTGACATTTTCAGTCCAGTCGGAATCACATTAAATGTTATAAATGCAAGAATGTAAGAAGTGAGTGATCGTGTTTGTTACTTTTTGAAGCCACAAAGGCTTAAAGTTACTTATAGGATAGAGATGACTTCTAACCTGGATTAAATTATATAAGCTATCTTTATTAATCCCTCCACGACCGCGGACACGCCGGCGTGTCAGTTAACAATAGAT